TTATGATCTTTTATATCTTGGAAAATTACATTAGGAAATGGTATTTATAAGAAATGATTACAATACTTATATTTGTTCCAGATTTGAACTTATTACTTTTTGTGTTTTAGTACATTATTTTGCAATCCCAAAAAATTTGTATCGTTCATAAAATGTAAATTTTATCTATTTTAATTTTTTTTAATAATCACCTACTCTCCTTATGGTTTCAAGTAATATACAAGACCCAAAAATAATATTTGTAAATAAACCTAAACAATAAATGAGTATTTTTATTTTTAACTAGAATTTTCATCTTTATATATGTACATAAAAAAACATTTTAATTTTGTTTCATAAATGTATTTTTATTTCAAGTTTATGTTTCATTTCAGCCATACTTTTGTTTATTGTGCCAAATAAATCCTGAGATTAGCAGTGTGAACTCTGTATATTTGCCATAAACTATCATGCCTGTCGTTCAGTCCAGTACAGGCACATTTCAACATTACTGTAGATATGATAGTAAAAAAAAAGCTTTTTGGTACTTCAATATCATTTCTTTGAACTTTCAAACAAGTTGATTTCAACATATGTCTGTGTATGTTGTTTCACTATACAGACAAAACTAATTGCCATTATAAGCGAATGTATGTATCAGTTTACAGTACAGGTGGTTTCAATAACACCGCCTGACCCTAGTTACTTGATAGATCCTGCTGATATATATATAAATTTATTCTGATATTTTGCAAATGGTTTAAAACTTTGTGTACAAGTGACAACAATAAAACCCATATGTTGGTTGTGAAACAGACCAAGTACATTCGTCTCAATAATACAGGGAAGCAATGACATTCTCACAGTTGGGGTCTCAATACACTGAAGAGCTAAAGTTTTGAATTCCAACATAAATCTTGCCTATAATGGGAGGAATGTGACCAGGACTAATCTTTTAAGTGCTGTAAAGTAATTTTCTTTGTAATTTATGGTGTCTGTATCATTTGGTAGTCTCTTCTAATTAGACTGTTTTAATTCTAAAGCAATAATAACAGAAGTGTGGGTCTTACTACAAAGTAAAGATTGTAAGAAGGAAAAATGTAAAATTCTTATGTGGTACTAGTACTAGTAATATTACATACAAATCACACAAGTTTATCATTCTAAATACTGAATCATATTATTATTATTATTATTAACTAAATATAAAATTATGCTAAATTATTGAACTTAAAACTACAAATTTAAATGCAAAAGAATATAAAAAATCACAAACTCTTTCAGTTCAAAGTGCTAAACCTAACAATCATGCATCAACTTCTTTCCTAAAAAATATATCTATTTTGAGTTAATTTTTCAATATAATGATTAATATAAATAGATATACAATGCAGCATGACTTAAGCTATTAGAGAAAAATAATAAGTCACGTACAGCCCTTGCAGTTTTTTTCCAGAAGCAAGTTTTGTAATGCTTATAGAAAAGTACTAGTGGCCAATACTAAATACAACCTCTACATAAAATGACAGTTACTATAATAAGCACCACCCACATTCATACTGTAAAATCCAGAGAACAATGTTTTGTCACGTGCTTTGCTTATCATCGTATGATTTGTCAAACGTGAAATACAGCGATTGGAATAACATGGTACTGAAATTGACACCTTCGACTAGGATTGGCTAAAAGTTTTACAATTGAGGGTTAACATGCCAGATGATGTTTTATAAAGAAAACAGACTAGAAAAAGGTTTAGATACCAATCATAGATGGCAGGACCAGTGCTGAAGTGGAAAGAAAATTTTTTTTAATTTTGAAAAAAAATTGTCTTCTTAGAGGGTGGTTATTTACAGTCTCAAACGTATTTTAGGTTTTTTTATTATATTTCTCTTTAAACTTCATTAGATAATACAATTTTGTACAAATAATTGAATGTTATACTACTATTTACAAAAATAAAATCTGAAATCCAATAAAAGATAAGTTCTCTATAATTTTTTCAATTCACAAATGTGATTTTGCTCTCACAATAGAACAAAATGGCCACTGCAAGTAAGGGGTTAATAGAGGAAACAAAATGTTTGCTTACAATAATAATCATTAATATCATAGTTCATTATTATGACAAAAAAATGTTTAAAATTCATGTTAATTAAGCTTTTAAAACATTAGGTGAAATGCAAACAATACCTTAGAAATATAACAAGTATCAGATATAATGAAGAAATGTCCAATGTTTACTTACTTTTTACTGGGATCATTTCCATGCCTACATAAATAAGAATGTACTGTTTGGAATCAGCAAAAACATGTACATGACACTGATATTATCTTTTTTAAAAACTTTGTCTTAAGCCTACATTCTAAAATGTCCCTTAATACACACCACTTTAAAAACATTTTATTTCAAATGAATTTACTTATTTTTTCAAATGTCAGTTATCTTCATGAAATTTTTTATACATATAATCAAACATAAAATTATAGCTTATGGCATTGTAATGAACAAACCATATTATTCTTTATGTTTGAATGTAGTGGAGAATGGGAGGTCATTTCCAGCTTCTGTCTAATGGCTTCATTTCCTATTCTGTTTCTTTTGGTAACCCTTGCCATTCTTTCTAGAAACCTAATTTCTGTTTTTACAATATTTTGTTTCTGTCTCTTTGCAAGATTACAAGCTAGGCACTCTAAGCAAAGTGTTGGGTGAAAGACTTTATCCAGCTTCCAATTGTTAGTGAAAGTGCTACCCAAATATTTGTCTGATGATATCTCTATAGTTAGTTGTTTATCTATATATTTTTTCTTTTGAAAACAATACATGCTCATTTTTGTGTTGTGTTTCATACATTCTAAATTTAATTCATTAAGGTTTAGCCAGATTTTATCTGTTTCTCGATTGAATCTACTATGGTTGACAGCAAAGAGCAATTTATTCAGTCCTTTATCTTTGTGATTCACTCTTTAAAAGATTTTGATGTATGCATTGAAAAGTAAGGGTGATGGTATGAAAACCTGTCAGACTCCTGACACTGACACTGAACTATTCCATTGACTCTGTCTTTGATTCAGATCTTGCTCTCTTTGTAAAGAGATCTTAAAATGTAGATCAGTTGAGTGAAAATACTGTGCTTTAAGCAAATGTCCTACAATTAGTTTCATTTTTAACTCTTTCAAATGCCTTTGATGATAAAATCTGTTGTACAGTTCTGGTTGTTTTAGTATTTTTTTATATTATTTCTCAAAGACTGCAAATTGTATCAGTATAGCTTCTGTATCTGATGAAGCTCACCTGTACTTCACTAAGTTAGATTGATGGTGAGTCTAATTATTTTCTCAATGATTTTGAAAAACAGTTTCACTTTGGGACTTAAGAATGATATTCATTTGTAATTTGTTTGTTTTTGAGTTTGGTAATGTTTCAAATAGCAACTCTATTCTTTTTCTTCTTCTGTAGCTTTTCCCGTATCTATATACGGGGTCTCTATTTTTGACAGCAACTCTACTGACTTTTCATTTTTGAAGCCCTTTTCCAATCTATTTAATGTTTGAATCTGCCTTTTCCATATTGTTTTTGCAGTAATAGATATTCACTGCTGTCTTTAATGGCTTTCACAACCTTTTCATATCTCAGTTTGTCATTATGTTCTGTGTTAGATTCAAACACACTTTCATGGCTACCATAGCAGCCTATATGAAATAAGTCCACCATCATACTTTGCCTTGCTCACCAATCTTCTACTTTACTTTGGTTTTATTTACATATAAAAATTAAAGTTAATAAGATATTAAATTAGTGCAATATCCTTTGTACTCATATAAATCAAAACAAATTGTTTCTACTTGAAACTTATGAGTGTATGAGAACCACACCTCAACAATATTATGTAATAAAACCCCAAAAATAAGTTTTATACACAAAGACAAGTTTCTACTGAAGTAAAATTTATTTAGTATACTGAACTTCCAACATTACTCATTCTCAGTTTGTATGCTGATTTTTTTGAATCAACAAAAAATACACAATTTCAGAAGTTTATATATTTCTTATAATTATGAAACCCACATATAGTTTTTGTAGTTTAACTTTAATTCAAATAATGTTCTCACCACATACCATGGGAAATTGTCACATCACTCTGATTACTATGGTTATCCATTATTTTCTGTAATGTCTATTATGAAAAGTTTGTGGAAGAAACTTAATTGTAGACTGCATATCTTTCCAAAGAACCTCTGCTGTGCATAGATGCAACCTCCTAGTCTACACTTAAGCAGACCAGAAGCTCAAAAGTCCCTTAGAATATGTTAACAACTTCACAGTTATGTAATTGAATGGGACTATTGTGATTCCAGCTTCTTTGGCCATATTTCTTATGGAAACAGTCATTCATTTTGAGATGTAACTGGAAGCTTAAGAACTTTTAGCTTAAAAACCTTTGTCAATTTTAGTTCTCGTTTATATTCTTGTTAATGACACCAGAAAATAGATCCAGTTTTTCATTGCAGTGATATTTCAGGTGTGAGGACTTTCATTGTAACCATAGCCTTAACTTTGAAGATTAGGGTATCATTATAGATTGGAGTGTGCTTTTGGATTACATTGCTGCCCTAAATGTTTTGCTCTGTGCATTTTTACACATCCAGTGAAAAACAATGAAATCTCCTTTCTTCAAAATGATATGTTCTTTGAATCTATATTGTTAACAATCTCACTAAATGTAGTCCTTTCTTGGAAAGAGCTGTGACATATTCCTCTAGCATAAGTCTATCCTAGTGATATTGAGTGGTTGGGAATTTACCATGAATTAAATAAAGGTGGTAAACATAGCACTGTGACTTCCATCTGTGGTGGATGCCACTTCATTGGCATATGCAAATCATTCATGTAAAACACCATTTGTACAAAAAATATAAGGTTATGTTTATTGCATTATTTCATTTCCTCATAAACTGATGGCTGAATTTTATGTTTATGTATATATTTTAACTACATATGTGGTGTGTTTTATATATTTTAGAGACCTTGGAGCTCATATTGATGGTTTTATTGCTGTTGTGGCTCATACCCTAGTAGTTGGTACTTGTAAGGTAAGAAATCTGAAGAAGGTTCAGTATAGATTAGGCCTCGACAAATATTTTCAGATGTAGGAGCCAGAACTGGGTGTGCCTAACCTAACTTCACTACTGTTTGTATAGGGGGCTACACTAGTGCCTAGATTATCAGTGCCTCTGTAATCCACAATCCTTGATTATCCATGTTTTTCTTTTTTCCCAGATTTTCTCAAAATAATTGTGCCATTACAATTCTAGACAATAATTCATATGTTTTGAAGAAATTGTCGCTCAGAAATTAATTGTGGTTGGAAAAGTTCAGGTGTCGTATGATATCCAGAGTTTTTGCATGCAGGATCTGGCATTTGTTCAAATTGTAAGTAAGCCGGTTCAAGCCTAGCCTTGCTTATTAGATTTTTTGCTGTTAAGACAAGAATATAAAAATATTGAAAAAAATGTATTTAGATTAAACAATGGGCTAATTAGTGAGATACATCAGTGCCTTAGTTACCACTGTTTCTGTTTTTCTCTATTTTTTATTTTTTTTGCTTTCCCTAGACTAGCACGGATAATCAAGGCATCAGTGTATATTTATTTAATTTCACAGCAACAAGTGGATGCTAATGATATCAACAAGCATTTGGTAGTGTTGCCTGAACTAACTGCCTTTGGTCCCGTCTGAGTCTAAACATGCACACTGATTGGTTTAATTGAGAGAAGAAAAAAAAACAAAATGGTGTGAAATTAGTAACGTGTTGTGCCACCACAGTGCTTCATTCCTGAAAAAACATGAAGTGCTGAATCTGCCATTAAAATCATAGAAACAAAATTCAACTTAGGACTCAAAGAACATTAACTTTTGTTAGATTCAAATTGTATTTAGCACAGCCCTATGCACTAATAAAATGGCAACCTGGGGTCTGGGATTTGTTGAGGCCTGATATAGATCCTAAACACTATTGCATTGAAATAGTGTTGATACTTAATGCTAAATTTTCCTAAATGTCTGAATTAACCAATTGTAAAAACTCATTCCCACAATACAAAATTTGTATCTATTACATTTTAAATATCTACACATTCAGACCTCTTTAAGAGATTATAAAATCTTGAACAAATCTAATAATTTTTCATTATGTATGTGCACAATTTAACTGCTTCAAATACTTGCATTAAACTTCCAGCAAAAATTATAAATATTTAAGAATACTGCAAAAGAAAAAAAAATGTTCTGTATTTTTGATATGCTGTTTGTTTATAAAAAATATGCATCATATTATGTTTTGAGTATCACTATAAAAATGTTTTCTGATATTTGGGCTTATAGTTTTTATTGTTTGCTTAAAAGCTTTCAATGGTCACAGTGAAGTTATATCATAATTTTCCTATATCTTTTCATTTCTCACCTGCTAAAGTAACAACATTCAGAGTTTGTACAAATCAGACATTGATGAAAAACCGAATTTAAGATATTCAGTTAAACAATTGTTTTTTCTTATCAATATTGCACAAAAGATTTCAAGTTGTGTTTAAAAAATGGCATCAGTTTGCTTGATCTATTTTAAAAATACTTATTATACAACCAAAATATTTTTTTTCATTTAAGACTTGCACATAAAGGTCCAAGCTGACAAACTACATATCCCTACCTGTTTGTGAGTTATTCTTCCACAAACAACTCTCTTATGAAAGTACATCCATTTCAACATTGTAGTTTTTACCTTTATTTTTTCTTTCATTTATGACACTTTTTTTTATTTGGTATCTGAGAAGTAGCTTTAAAATGTAATTTAACATGAAGAAATGCTATTATGCTCTTTCCTTTGTAAGTTAAAATTAGCGTAACTGTTGTATAATGTTTATAAACATTCTGTTGATCTGAGCCTATTTATACTGTGTCTATTTCTACATTTTCCCACCACTAACAGTCAAGTAGTGTAAATATGTTTGTGTCAAGGTTAGTATAATTCTCTGGACTTGATAAATGACACATAAAAGTATTATGATAAAGAAGAGGAATGCTTTGCATATCCATGACCCCACACTCACCATTTTTAAATATAAATGCCATCGTGTGGGATGAACACACTGGTAACTCTGGTGCTTGTAGGTATGTTAATACAGCATGTATTGGACTTACGAGTCATGTCAATGTAATAAGCATTGAAAGAGTTAGCCAGAATTAATGAAGGGTTATTGTTAATACAGTTCTTTGGGAAATGTTTTGGGGTATCATGACATTTATTATGATACCTCTTGTTTTCTTGTGTAAAAAAGCATTTCTTCTGGAACTTGTATAACCACATAAATTTTAATAGATAAAATGTCTTAGGACCAGAATCAAGACCTCTCCATATCAATGTGGAGAATATTGTGTACTAATTGCCAGATTTATATACTTCTACCCAAGTATACAAGATTCCTAGCCCTCCGTTTTACCATTTTCTCTGTAGCTATTTATTTACTCTAAAATGCACCCTCTAGGCCCAAGTAGTACTTTTGTTCTAAAAAGGTTAATACTTGTTGGTTGTGTCTTCATTTTATGAACAAAAACTCAGTTTATTTATATAACCATTTGCATCACTTTTGCTTGGATGTACATTAGCAGTTTTGTGTGATGCACATAAACTAACTGAAGTAATTCTGGAGGTGGAGACAAATGGTGCAGGAGAAATTGATCAAAAATGTATATTTAAAGAAATACCTTTAAATACCTCAAAACATAGAGAGAATATTCCAATAAGCTTCCTTTTTTTATGATTTTTTTGAGGGGTAAAAGCATTGGTTATTTTAAAGATTCAAGGTTATTGCATGTTCAGTGTTTTGCTTCCAAATGGAAAAGCCATAAATGTTTTCTAACTGGTATATAACATGCATCATGTTATATATATAGAAGTAACTTGTTAAAAGTTATTTTCCTCGAGCATTGACTAAATTAGTGCAAAACTGATTTAATATTGTAATTGCAATCAAAGGAAAGCTTATAATGGTAACTAGTACATGTTTTTCCACCAATTTATACAGGAAAATAAGGTGACGGGAAGAAAGGCTGATGTAATATGTGCTGCACACTTTGCTGCAGAAACTGCTCTACGAATGGTAAAGCCAGGGGGTGAGGTAAATATTGTTTTTGCATGACTTTTATCATTTTACATATTACCTTAATTCTAAGAATATTTACATATTTTAACTTAAGCTATAAATATTGTTTTTAAAAATAAGCTTTTTAATGTTTATTTAGAAAAGAATACAGTTTAAGTTAACCCTAAGCTTATGGGTACTCTTTTCTGCACATGTCACAAGGTTTTAATGATTTGCAATCGAAATTTAATTAAGCAACTTCACTATAATATATTCAATGAAATGTGTGTTATAATTCAAAGTTTTATATTATTTAAATTTTAATTCCTTTATTTCAAAGGGAAAAAACTAAGATTACTTGTATGTCTAGATAGAAAGTAGGATAATTGTTGTGTTTACACATCCTTCTTACAAATTTCAGAAACAAGAAATAAATTTTGGGAACCCCTGACAGAAGCCATGCCCACCTTCTATACTTTGACTTGAGATTTACAAGATACATGCACTTAGTTGACATACAGGTTTATAACCAATAGAAGTAGCTAATTTTAAGGAAAAATCTCCCAATGGTAATTTTAAAATTGATGTGCAGTATTCGTTTTCAAGTACGTCTAACTACTGACAGCATTGTTTGTCATTTTGTCTTATGGTTGTTTCATTTCCTAGATATTTCTTAGTCAGATAGACAGTTAAATTGTATTTGTTTTATTTTTATATTTTAGGTAACTGTGTGTTACTTATGTTTTAAAATTCATATTTGAAAGGTTTACCCATTTTTTAAAAGTATAAACCAAACTTTGCCTTGGTTTTGAGCTTGTGGTAATAATGAGTGCAAGAACACTTTGCAGCTGATACCGTAATATTGCCTGTGGGCATTGAGGTGTGTCAAAATGAAAAATATATACTGAGGGCAGGAAAAGGAAATAAAACATTAAAGATAAAAGGTAAAGATGTGCAAGTAAGAATGTGATCAAACAATGATCTATTAATATTATTCAATGAAAAATTTAAAGGTTTGAACATTTTTCTATTTGTTAATTTTAAATATTGCACTATACATTGATGCTAATAGCTACAGTTAGTACTATGATAGAGAAAATGAAAAATAAAATATAAATATTTGCATATGAAAACTACTTTTTTATATTCATTTAGCAGATTCTAAGAGGTTATGCAAATTAAATTTGAAAACTGTAATATGAAAAAAGTATTTTTAATTGTAAAAACAAAATCACTTTTTTGTCGGATAGTTAGTATTCTGAGTGCAAAAGCCTTCAAATGTTTACTGATAGTTTGTCAAATTTCCTGAAGATATGCATACAATATCAAAAGCTATAGTATGGCTAATCTCGTGGTTACATTGGTGGTTACTTGTTGAGCCCAAAGGACATATCCCTTAAACATTGGGTTAGCACATTATTTCAAATTTAACACCAGTTTTCTTTAGTACAATAATCTTTAAGTCAATTTTAGATCACTTTTTAAAACAAAGAAGATTGAGTTTGTGAGGTTTATGCTAATTTAAAAAGTAGGTATAATCTGAAAGTAATGGAATAGAGCTTTCCACTTGAGTTGACAGTTCTGCTTTCTATGAAATGCAACTGAAGAATTGTGCTACTATACATAAATTATCTTACTTAAATTTTCACTGGACTTGTAGTAGTTATAAATAATTTTTGACTGCCTGTTTCTATAGCAAATAATGAACAGTAGAACTATTTGGATGATAGATTTTTCAGTTTGATCCATATGTTTGAAAAATTTAATGGGTTTGGTGAACCCATTAAATTATTTTAATTTAGAAGATCTGGTGTCTTTTGATTTTGCCCAGATAAAAAAAAATAACCCCTTCCAAGTCAGGCTTTTTTTTAAATTGAGCTAAAAAATGGCAGTTTTTTTATTTAACTTTTAGATAGCCTATACTTATATATTAATGAAACAAAAATTTTTTTATGATCTATTATTATATTTCTGAGCTATGTAGTATCTTTTTTCTGTCATTATCATATCTATTAATATATAATAAAAAAATATATTGAAAATTTGCAGAATGTCACCATTTGTGTTGATATTAACCCTTTCGAGATGGGTCACGGGTGAATGACCATGTCATCTCGTTTGTTTACTCAAATTAAAAATTTTATTGAACTTCTACTTCATGAATTTATGTCAATAAGTTTGGTATCAAACTGTAGATTATAATTCAAATTTTAGAACTATACATTACTCAATTTCTTAATTTAAAAGTAAATATTAAAAACAACACAGATAAACATCCATTTTTGTGTGTCACGTGGTATGTTGAATGCAGCACTGGTTCAAATTAGATGGATGTGAGGTCAAAATACTAAGTCTATAGTTTTGTACGAGTTAGAAACTCAAATTACAGATATTGCCAAGCTAGAATATAAAATAAGAAGCTTATCTTTTCTATTTGCTAAGGTATTGCTTATGTAATAAATCAAATACAGTGGCATACTGCCCACCTCTTTCCATTTTTGGAAACGCTCCCTTATATACACTTACTTCTATATACGATATGAATAACCAGTT